ACGTTTAATTAAAACAATGAGTGCCATTTTGAGAAAATTTTTAAAATTTCGTCAGTTAATTTAGGACCAACAAAAAATGGATTCTTGCTACACCCTGTGTCAGAGGAAGTAATTTACTAAACATTTCAATAGAATACATATTCGTCATCAGGGTGCGGCAGTAAGAGATTTTCGCCAAAAATTCGCTGGTTTTCGTTATTATTCCATGACTTTCTCTTCTTACGAAGTACCTGCGAAACCGCGAGAAAGTAATAATAAATGTAATAGTTATTATAAAAATGCATATAGTATGTTTATGTATGGTCCCTACGTAACTCTGTAAAACGTGGAGCAATGCCAACCAACTGTTGCGCGAATAATTTTGAGAGGCAAGAGAAAAAAATTGTTTATAAATTGTTTTATGCAACACGCAATACATGTGTGTTTATGTATTTATGGATGGGCGAGCAGTGCTGTGGGCAGGACATGGTCGTGGTGGGGTCGAGCGTTAATGAGTGTCTGGGCAGAGGAGATGGAAAAGTGAAGGCGAAACACGGGGGGGGGGGGGACGAAGCGGAGCGGATGGGATGGTTGGAGAGGGCGCATGAAAATACCAATAACTTCACACTATCACTAAAAGGTGGAATTAATTTATTTTCCTATCTAATAGGTTGATTTTTTATTTAAATAATCGGCCAACGCCTGGTATTTAGGCAATAATAATAATAATAATAATAATAATAATAATAAATAATAATAATAATTAATAATAATAATAATAATAATAATAATAATAATATAATAATAAATAATAATAATATAATAATAATAATAATAATAATAATAATAATAATAATAATAATAATAATAATAATAATAAATAATAAATATCGAAAAAACAGACAACTACCTATAGACCATCATGTCGCCTACCCTCGTGCTGATGTACATAGATTTTATTATGTGTCACAAAAGGAAGGAGGAGGAAGTCTAAGGCAAATTGGTCTCCGAGCACAGTCGAAAAAGCAAATTATGTAGTCAGTCATCAAGATGGCTGAATAATGAGGCAGGTCATTAAATCTGACCGAAGAATGGCAAACACAGGCTTTGTACGTGTAGACGACCATGTAAGATACGCAGAATAACACAGACATCGAACTTCTGATGCAACTTTGAAAGAAATGTGAGACACAAAAACTCTGAAAGAAATCGTGGAGACGCAAACCACTCCATGGACAATATAAAAAATGGACAGGGTGTAAATCAATAAAGATCAATCATTTATGTGACTTAACACTTTGTAGACGTCTTCAGCGAAAAACTCAAACTAAAATCCAAGTAGGAGACGCAACGGAATTTGGGTGGGGCATGCTACAACCACAAGAGTAAAGCGCCAGTCAGAGATAAAATACTAAGCTACAACTCGAGGGCCACAATTCAGAACAGAATATGGCGAAGAGGCGAGGGTAATTGCCGAAAAGAATGGGAAGAAAATGTGCCGAAGCAATGTTGCACAGATCAGTCGTGAACAGCATGCTTAAGGCGTTCTTTCCCAGAAAGATAAAATGAGCTTCCTCCCCCCCCCCCCACTCATCGGCAGTGAGGGGTGTGGGTAGAGTTTGTTGAAAAGGCGGGCTTAGTGTTTGGCTGCACAAAATAATAAAAGGGGATTGAGAATCGCAGAGCGCTGATTGATGTCGCGGGACTGCACGGCCGGAGGCGTTTTTGCTCTTAGCTGCGCAGGCAACCCCGCGTTTCAAAGACCAACGATTCTATTTATCCAATCATGTTTTTCTGCAGCGTAATTCAGCAGCCAGGACATACAAGGTTGTCAAAACGATCGCTAACCGGTCTTCGACGAAGTATTGCCCGGGGACCCAAGAGCTGAAAGCAATCGAATCGCCACTGCAAGTCGAGACTGTAATCCCACTAGAATAGAAAACGAGAGAGCGGGATTGGTGGAGTTGGCGAGGAGTCGATGAATGCAATTTGAGGAGAGTGTAAGAGATCATCCAATTGAAGTTTGTACTCCTCAGTCAAGAGACAATATTCAAGAGATTTTCCACCCAACGTTAATGCAGTTTTAAACAGAAATTGGCGAGACGTCTTTCCATTTTCGTAACATTTTAGTCGGTTTCCCGTTACAAATTAAACGTTGACCTAACCGCCTCCATATTTCCCTCTCACCACTCTCGTCTCCTTAGTCACAATCTCTGCCTTCTCTCCCTCACCCTCGCTATCGAAATTCCATTTCGAAAGAAAATGTCGCACTCAAATTTACTAAACGATGAAGTACAACTGATAGAAAAATATCCTCATTTTCTGTTGTTTAAATAATTTTTATAGACCTAGAAAAACAAAAAATCTCACCTGATTTTCCACCAAACGTTTGAACCCGTTTCAAGAATATAAATGCTGTATGAATGATCTTTTTAATATCGAAGGCACTAACAAAGCAATAGCGGCCCATACTTCAAGCCAATAATTTTTAATCGCACAAAATTACTCTCAATTTCACTAAAAATTGAAAAAAATAGGACATAATTAAAAGAAAAACTCAATTCATGAAACAAATGCATTTTTAAAATATTTATTAGTGGTTGATTCTTCATAAGGAGTATAATTACTCGTAGTTTCTTAAGCAAATTTAGAATGGAAACACTGTTATTTTCTCTATGAAAGGTTTTCGTCGGCGAAATACAACGCAGAGGTGTTTTAAAGAACATACTTCTACAAACGACTGCACGACATAAACTCGTCAAGTTGAAGCTGAACCATTTGATGCTCTATACCATAGCACCTCAATAACGCGAACGAGGTTTTTTGCATGTGATTGTATCCATTTGGTCTCCGGGCTCGGATTCATTGAACTCTCCTGTTCCGTAGCGAGATGTAGCTGGAGTGGGTATCGCAACGGCCCATGTGGCACATCTGGGACGTGGTCGTCGATCCATTGTCCCAAATAAAGGCAACGGCCGGTTGACCAAGCTGACTGACGTCTTCCAGACACTTCCTTCGGTTGCGGAACGCTGCATAGGGAACCGCTACAGGCCGTGCACTCTACTTAACTGTGCTTGAAGTACTTTTAGGAAAGGCATATTTCTTCTGCGAGTTATATCAAGGCACGCCAGGTGACACAGTTTGCATTTGATTCTCAAAATTTCAGGTGACAGTGACATTTGTTTTTTGACTCCATTATTCAGACCGATAATGTAGGGTGTAACAATATTTAAAGAAAGGACCTAATTGGTTGTAAATCCGTATGGGGATTCCTTTTCAATGAAATCTATGGCTGGCAGATATAAGACATCTGGAATTTCATTTACCAGAATTTACAGAATACGTCACTTACAAAAATGGCAAAATGTTGCTGTTTCGTCTGCGCCTCTCCTTCCCTTGCAATCAGAACAATCAAGCGAGTGAGATATCCAACGGATTATTACATTCAAAGATTCGCGGGTTTACTGAGGCTCATAAAATTAACATCACCGAATACTGTTAACTTAAGGAAAACTTTTCATTGATACAAATATTAACGAAAATTCCGTTGCATTATATTATAAGCATAACCTATGAATGTTTAACTAGATTCTAGATATGGAAATGAAAACAAAATCCTCAATCTCTTCTCTTAAATTACTCATCTCAAAAAATAATCGTGACAATATAGAATACAAGACAATATAAAATAACCATGGCTCAGGGCATCAACTGATGTTACTGAAGTCCCTCTAATCGGCAGGTTCTAGGTTGGAGTCCCTATTATAGTAGGATTTTCGACATTAGCTTGTCAGCTAGGTCGAATTCAGTCGCTGTCTGGAGGAGAATTCTAGCTGTCGGCTGCTCTGATCGGTAGTTTTACGTGGTTTCTTCGACCAACACCAAGTAGTAGAGCAGTACCCTAACAAAAGGGCCACTGATCGCGCGCGATCTTTCTTTCCTCTTCCTTGTCCTATCCTCACCCGTTATTTACACACACTTACACTAGCATGCACTACAGCACTCACACGACCGTGAGACCAGTCGGGAGCTTAGAGCTTGTCCCGGATGGGGCGGTGGTGGGAGATACCTGGTTGGGGAAAACCCCGCTCGCCTACGGTAGGCCGGATCTCGTCATACAGAGAGGAAGAGATCACCGCCAGCTCCCGAGCAAAAAACAACATTCATTACACTTATGGGACTAATGACCCTGGTAGTTGACGTGCCCGAAATCACTAAACAATCAATCAATCGTCGCAAGTGAAAAGAAATGTCGGGAAAGACCAATCAGTAGAGGTTTAGCTATTCACATGCAAACAGTGACTTCTTTTGAGTCACCAGATCGTTATTGAATATTCTGCATCATCGAGTAGAATTCAGAACCTTACGACTTACAGAACTTCAGTCCTTTGCAAACAACCACCGGCATCGGAAAAATGGATAATTATTGCTCCTGTGTGTTGTAAATTACTTCATGGAACTCTTGTGTAGTCAGAATCGACATTTTGTTGTTCCTTGATACTGACTTCAAACTGTTCATAGTAAAACATCTGTATGTCCATTCTTCTGTTTGTGGTCAACACTTAGCACCTAAACTTTTCAGACGATTTTTCTGAAAAAATGATATTCCCCGATCGATCTGAACGAACTCTAGGATTTGTGAGTTTCAAATGGATATTTTGATATTGGGGACAGGGGCGTTACATGAAGCCTTAACAAAATTTTCAAACTTTTCTTTGTGGTCTAACTGGTAATTTTTTTGTTAGTGTATAAAAATGTAAAATAGAAAAAATCTGTCAAACTCCAAAACTATTTAGCGAATATTTTCTATTTTCCCAGCAAATAACTCTAAAGATATTGGAGTTAGTTTTCATTTTGTATATGGTATTTTTTTGTTATGTTGCACCTTTTTTGTAATTATATAAATGAAAAAATAATGTTTACTTCATATGTGTGTCTGGAGTGGTTAGGTTGTAAACAAATTAAATTAAAAAGAGATACCAGATGTAGGAGGACACTGAGAGGGTTTCTATATTGAGTTTTCACGCCATCTTAATTAGATAATTGTAGTTAGCATTTTTTTTAGTCTTGGCCTCTAATACGAAGCCTGGCGCGAGCTCCCAGCGACGCGCGCGGTCGAGGGCTGCGCAGCGGCGCCTGCGGCGGCGCGTGGCGAGAGAGGGGCGAAAGAGAGAGCGCGCAGTTCGATCCCCCGCGCGGGCGTCGGCGGCGCGCTGCTTCTTCGCCTCGAGCAGGCGCAGCCATTGGCTGACTGGTTGAGAGGAATAGCACGTGTAGCTGTGAGCGACGCGATTTAGCTCAGAAACGGACCAGGACGACGTTACGTGTGGAGAGCGTGCGAGGAATGTTTACTAAGCCTTACTTCGGGCGTTTGAATGTATTTGTTTAGTACAATGGACGTCCTTTCCTTTCTACATATCTGTTCTTGTTTATCACTAAAGTAGACTCTAAAGAATTCTCCATTGCTTGAGAATAAAATTCTTAAATATTACGTATGAAGCATTTATATTTTTATTGTTCCATACTACTCTTAGTGTATATCTGGAAACATTTAATCTTATATTAAAACAATGCTGAGAAAGAAAAGTGAAACTTGATAGAAAAAATATTTTGGGAACCAAAATAAAAATAATACCGTTCTTAGCAAAATATGCAACCTGCACTGTCATTATCCTCGTCATTCGCGAAAACACCTGTCGCGCTGGCCGCGGTGCCATTAACGTCTCATTCCCCACTTTCCCATTGTCTCGGCATAGCGCATTCAGCCGCGGGGGAGCAAAACGCTTCCTGGTGCGCACGGCAAGTGCCAGTGGCAGAGGTCGCGAGGAGGAAGAAGAAGAAGAAGAAGAAGCAAAGGCGCCGCTGCCCCTACCTTGTGGTCAGAGGCCGCCTGAGCGCGTCCGCCGGGGCATGCCAAGGGCGGCGAGGGCGGGGTCGCCCCACGCGCCGCTCCGCGCAGTCGGCGGCGGGCAGTCGCAGTCGCCGGACGCACACGCCGCCGGCCCGAGTCTTCAAGACGATCGCCGACGGTGTCTGGGTAATGATGCAATCTGTAGCCGTACGTTGCAAACTCTTTTCGGCGGGCTGATTCTGTCGCTTGCACGAGGATATGTACTACTTTCTGTATTTAAGCGAGGACCGCCGAAGCTGGGCAGCGTTGCTTCCGTGGGCGCGCGTGGCGGCGGCGCGCGGAGGGCGGGCGGCGCGGAGGCGACGGCTGCTCGAGCCGGGGAGAGCGCGGGCGACTGACGCCGGGCAGCGCCGCCGCCGCCAGCCGCCGCCGCCGCCACCGCCGCCGCCGCCGCCGCCGGAGAGAGCGGCAGTTCCGCCGAGCCCACAGCCACGCGCGTTCCGCCTTCGATCCAACGATTCGGCGAACTGCGAGGAAAGGTGGCACACTCAGCGCTGATCGCAGCTGAGGGCTGAGGCCGGGAAGCTCTTCGCCCTTCCCTAAACAGGAACATCCTTTGCCGCTGAGGCGTCTCTGGCCAGTTCGAGCCACCGCGGTGTCGATTGTCGACACCAGATTCTCGTCTAGGGCGAGTTCAGCCTCAGTCGGGGGGGAAACGCTAGCGGTCAACTGCTCTGATCGGTACTTTTCCGTGGCCTCACCGATCAAACCAGACGAATTCCGAAAACGAACTCTTAACAAATGGGTCACGAACCGCGCGCTATCGTTCCTACCTCAACCTTGACCTCTTACGTGCACTACACTGCCATCCATGTCGGGAGAGCAGCCAGGAGCGTAGGGTTGCCCCGGCTGGTGCAGTGCCGAGCCGAGGGAGGTCTGATGGGGTAAAATCTCGTAAGCATGCGTGTTGGTCAGCGCTGGATCGCACGCAGAGCGATGTTCGCCCCTCGATCCCGGCGAAACATGTCCTTCACTCACGGGGCTGGCCAAAGTAGTCGACGCGTCCGCCAACACTAAATACTCCCTCTTCAGTTGATCAAAGTGACGGCTTGCATTGGCCTTCCAATGAATGATCAATAGAGGTAAATTATAATAGAGATATACAAAGAGAAGAAAAACCCTCTTGACAACTCGAAGTTGTGACATTACTAAAAGGAAAATACTCGTTGATGCCTCGCAAAGAACACAATGAGACCTAAGGTACAATGCCACAGGAGAGAAGAATTATCGGAAGAACTGAAACCCTCAGCGACGCCGTCAGTGGAGTAAATATGGGTCTTGGTAGCGTACATCCCTTTAAATTTAAATCTAAGTATTATGCAGAAGAGAGTATACCCTGAAAACAGAAGACCCAACATTTCGATTTATTTTAGAGAAGCCGGAGAAGACTCAGTTTGAAACAATGAACTATCCGAGGCGCCATTTGCAAAAGTGAAAGAAAGACGCAGTGAAATTACAGCTATGTATATTTATTTAATGCATTAAAAAAAGTATGGCCAACAGATGAAAACGTCCAGTATGTATGTAACAGGTACTGTTTAGGACACTTCACAGGAGTTGGACTAGCCTCTGAGACGTAGCCAAGCCCGCTTTGTCGGAGTTTACTATGTCCTATAAACATAAATGGGCTGCTTACAAAATGTGGGACATTCAGAATCTGGAAGAATGGCGATTCCTGAAAGAGTAGTCTAAAATATATTCTCTTACATAACGAAACGAGAAACCGTCAATGCCAGTATCCCATTCCGTTAAGTTAAAGGAAACCTACGAGAACATGAGGCTATTTCTGAAGTACGCTGATTATTCAAATCACAAATGGAAAATCTGTAGTGATAGGAATATAGCTGGTTATACACAATATTGCTGTTTCTTGTGTCACGGGAATTGCAAAGTAAAACCCATTATGTTGTCAAAGAATGGCCTTTGCGAGGAATTTTCAATCCTGGTGAAACAAAATGCGTCGAATAAAACTCTTGTTGATAAAGATAATGCACTGATACCATCACTCCACCTGAAATCAGGCTTTATGAAGGATTTTATGCAAGCAATGGACACAGAAGGTCCGTGTTTTCAATTTTTACTAATTTACTGCGATTGATACTGCGAAAATTAAAAAAAGGCATTTTCACTGGACCTCAAATCCCTGACTTGGTGAAACATCCTGATTTTAACTGTTTTTGACGTAATTAATTAATTAATTAATAAAAAAATTAATTACCTTTCAGCAGTTGCTAACAGATACTGAGATGGCAGCTTGGCTTGCATTGAAATATAACTCGACAATCTTTTGAGAAACAATGTCCAAGATTACAGGGAACGGACGGAACGTATTCTGGACTGTTACAAGGCTATGGGGTGAAATATGTCTCTGAAATTACATTTTCTTCATTCCCATTTGGATTTCTTCCTAATATTGGAGATGTGAGTAATGAACATGTTGAGCCATTTCAACAAGATATCGCTGCTAAGGAAAGACGATATAAGGGAAGATGGTCACCAAAACTTTTGACGGATTATTGATGAACACTCCTAGATTTTATGCCATCCCTCCACAAAAGCAAAGTTTCCAAGTAATTTCCATGTAAGACATTTATACAGTTACAATACAACAGTAGAGAAATATAACAGTAATTTTCCCCATCATCTTACAGTAGAAACAACAATTCAACACAACAGTTACAATTCACATATACATTGGACTGAAAGGTCCAGAAATACATTAATGGCTGTACAAAATTAAATTATTTTTTCTTGTTCTTCTTTAGAATGGATTATTGGTTCGTGATCTACCCAGTTAATTCTCTTTCACTGTTACTTCTGGGACATAGTTGGAAAATGTGATCAAGATTTTTCACATGTGGGGGAGTTATTGTTTGATTAACTGTTGAAACCTGGAATAAATTTCCCACAATAACTCTCACGTAACATTTTTGTTATAAATTTAGGAGATAATAATAATAATAATAATAATAATAATAATAATAATAAAACAGTAATATTATCTACTTACACATTTTAAATTTTACAACACATCTTCACTAGCTCTTGAAAATAATGAAATAGTACTCTGCTGCTGATGATTTAGACCCATTATTCCTGATATATCTAATCGCCCGAATACACCTATAAACGCTACTGTAAATTCGAAATTTAAACCTCTTTCCGTAGGAAACTATTCAGTTTCCGAAAAACATCATTTGAAGTCATTTCAAGCACTTTTATTCACAAATGAAATAGTGTTTACAAATTGCTGGAAATTTTCATATTAAAGGTAAATCTTTAAGGTAAGGTAAAGGTAAAGGTAAAGGTATAATCTTAAAAAAAAACGTACATTTGAGTAATTTTTGAAGAAAAAAAACATCAAAATGAATTTTAAATTATATTAAGGAGCACTACCCTTTCGAAAAGTCCGAAGGAAAAATTTGGAGTCTTTTTGAGAAGATTGTGTTTCAACGTTTCTGAAAAAGCGGAATTTTGAGCTAGTTTTCACAGAAAACGGCTGAGTTTTCGAGAAACTTTATATGACCTTATTTAAAGCACAGGTACCAACCATAATAGAATAAATCGTTGTTAATGTAAATATTATAAACGCGAGAGACAAGTAAAAAACATACATTTTTGTAATTTTTGAATAAACATAAGAATAGAGCAAACTGATATTTATGTAATCTCTTAGAGTACATTTAGCACTATTGCTACCAAACGTTTAAAGCAAAATTTTGGAGCAGTTTTTAAGAAAATCTTGTTTTTGAAATTTTGAAAATTGTACATATTGCACGAAATATTGCGCAAAAAAATTACAATTATCAAAAAATGTGCAGGAACTTAATGAAAGAACTCACTGTAAAGAACAAATTTTATTTGAAGGAAAAATCTCTATCCTCAATTTTGTAGTTGTAGAAAGACGCCCTAAATTTTCAATATTTCACTATTTTCGAAAATCCAGAGTTAATGCTGAAAACCAGACCTACGCCCTCTTTATATATTTTGTATTTCACTGTATTCTTGCAAGATATTTAAAGAAAAAATCTAGAGTCATGTTCGAGAAAATTTTGAAAATGTCTGGGTGTCTTCATGTAAAGTACCTCCAACAATTAATTAATGTTTCTCAAAATCGCAGAGATTTGATTCAGGTCAGATCGAGAGGGGTTTATTCAGTTTGGAAAAATTGGAGCGGATAGCTTAGGTGCTACTGCTGTTTACAAAGACCAGACGAACAGAGAGAAGGACTGATGGACGATTTGAAAAAAAAAAACCCTCTTTTGGTATACCACAAAACGTGTATTTCCGCTGAAATCTCGAAATCGATTTTCCGTATATACGTATGCATACGGGGAAAGTCAAAGTGAATTTAAATATAAGAAATAAAATACTAGTATAATTATGTAGATTACAAGATCATAAAGAATAACATGTAGACAAATAGTATTCTTTATTTTTCGTATTATTCTTATATATGTATTAAAATGTAAGAACAGAAGACAATATAACTCGTGTTACTGGCATGATGCTAAATTCATATTCGCATTGTATTTAACAAAAAGTTAGATGCACTATTAAAAATACAGTACATATGCTCCAAAAATTGCAAAAAAAGTGACCTGAAGAGGTTGAGATTATTGATCGTTTCTAAAAATAGGCTGAAAGGTGAGTTACAAGATGGAACAGGACAACAGTATCGAAGGCGTTGAACCTGACAAAATAATAGAAGAGGGCCCGGCTATTGTACAAGATATTGGATAATGACAGTTGTTAAAAATAACTGTAAAAGTAATAAAAAACGTGCTAATGCCAGTTGCATGTAGCAATTGTCTATGAAACCCAGGGACTTCCAAACCGACGTGACGGTGCAGGTGTAGTCCATCGTCTTCCAAATATTTATTTTCTTTTTCACATAATTAATTACCTACTTTTGTTTTTCCAAAAAAGTTAAATGACATTAAATGTAGGCAATTTCATCATTTATTTCATATTGAAGATTTGATTATTTACGAAAATGGATGGTTCTTAAATTATTTTGAAAAAGAACGAAAAAAATATTTAACCAATAAAAGGAGTAGTGCTACAGCAGCACATACTTTCTCGAAAGATTATTAATGGTTATGTAATATTACAATATGACAATTTCTCCCATTGAAT